CCCCCGCGCTGCATAGACGGATTGCTCCACGGCATCCTCATGTGTATACACAGTCTGTTTAAAGAGCAGGGGTAGCCAAACTACGGTCCTCCAGCTGTGGTGAAACTACAAATCCCATGATGCATCTCTCTCCGGGAGTCATGCCTGTGGTTGTGAGAATCTTGCAATGCCTCATGGGATTTGTAGTTGCACCACAGCTGGGGGGACGGAGTTTGGCTACCCCTGGTATAGAGCGTGATGACACCAGGATCCTTAGACCGCCGCAGCAGAAGGGGAGAGACGTTCCAGACACTGGTCTCAGAACAAGCCGCCTCGGATGGTCCGGCGAGTATAGACGTGAGGATGCTGAGGAGCAGTCCGTCTGTGCAGCGGAGGAGGAGACACTTCAGTGGTCACAGAAGCAGGGAGCCGGATCGGATGGTCTGGTGAGTATAACCTATTTTAGCACCTAGGTACAAACCAGCATTTAACCCTTTGCAGTGCGGGAGTAGCCCCACAGCAAGGGATAATACATGATTTGCTGGAGTTCTTCTTTATAGTAAGTGGCTGGCACATCATGGACACCAATTGTCCCACTTTTCTTATATAAGAAGCGATCATATCCAACAAAGGGAAGAGTAAACCCCAATCACAGGACAAGAGATGCCAAGCCCGCTTCTCACCCGTGCATGGGCCCCGACTGCCCGCTGTTCACCATATCCACCATATTGCCGAGAGCTGGGGTGACGCGGGAGTCCTGAGTGGTGCTCTCCGCCGTGGTGAAATGATAATCCATCACTTTCTCCAGCTGGTCGCGGGGTATTCCGCCTCCTCGGTCAGATATCCTGCGGAGAAGAGAAATGTCACCTTTATAAAGATCAAATTTGCCCAACGAGATGCAGAGTGACAGCTAGAGCTCGCACCCGAATTTATGGCTATCACGGTGTCACATGATCCAGAACCACGCTGGTGTGGCAGCAGTCTCTGGTGGAGTGGAGGGGGCGGCACAGTCCCGGGGGGACCTGGAGGGGGCGGCACAGTCCCGGGGGGACCTGGAGGGGGCGGCACAGTCCCGGGGGGCCTGGAGTGCGCACAGATGTGCGCTTCTAGCTCCAACAAGGAACTTGTATTAAAGTGATAACAAGGCAAAAACCTTTCTTGATATCGCGGAACATTAACCTTCAGAATGAGATCCGGAAACGATCGATAACTACTCTATACAAAGCGGATTGGTCTTCAGTCAGTCAGTGTTTAGGGCAGAAAATGAACAAGAAGAAGCTGCCATCTTACCGGATGGCCAGATCGATGTCGGTGTTGGCGATGGTGACGACAATCTCGGGGACGTTGTAGGGCGAGTTGCGGTGGCTCTCCATGGTGGCCCTATGAGGACAGAAAAGGAAAATAAATAACGGAGCTCTGGTACTTTTCCCTCTGTTGGCTTCCAGCGCACATCACACATACCGCATGGAGTTCTTCAACAGCTCCGGAATGATGTAATCCAGCGGCATCGGGATGAAGGGGAAACGCGCTGCCACGTGACCGTTAATTCCAACCGGAGGGGCGTTCCCGTACTTGTGTTCACACAGACGCCTAAAAAGTAGAAAGACTTCAGGGCACAAAACTAATGAAAGGACACTTCTCACCCAGAAAGAAAAGCAAACACAAAATGAACAGGCTGCATGCGGTCTCATGGCCATCGTTATTATTTCAGCTTGGGAACCTGAGACAGTTCATATGCTATATTTAGAGATATCACTGCAGATCTATCATGCTAAAAGGTACCAACCCCCTCTCCCTGTTATGAAGCCATTTCCACCCCACCCCCAAAAAAAGG